AAAAAAAAAAAAAAAAAAAGAAATCATAATATTAAAAGTGTGCATGCTTTTATTTTTATAGGAAGTTGTTCCCAATAACACTGAAGTAAGATGTATTAGCTGAATGTAAAATATGGAGGCAAAGTAAAAGATAGATGGTAGAAAGTAAGGACATAGATCTTTCTCAAACGGGAAGGGAATGAAGAGATGGAGGAAGGAAGCGGGTGGGGACACAAGAAGGAACTGAGATCTGTTCTCTCCATGTACCAACTCCTCACAAGGTCTGTAAATATTAGGCACTGCACACATGCACTAATTAATTAAATACATGAATAATAAATAAAATGTCACTAATATCTAGTGTATCAAAATTTACTTAAACAATCTTTATATATGTTTTTACAGAAGTGCAATCCAAGGGAAGACATGGTCTACCAATTGAACCTGGTAATACTTCACTGCAGGCTTAGGAAATCAAGGCCACCAAGGAGTCCATGAAAATACTGTGATGCTAACTTCTTTCTCCTTCTCAGCATCCACTAGACTTTAATTCTCAGTAAACAGTCTGATTCTAGATGTTTAGTTATTCTCCCCTGAAAATAAAAATAGCACCATTTTTATCCCTACTGTATAATTCATGATTTCACTGGGCTATTTTTTAATGTTATAATCACATGTTGCAATCTGCAAAACGTAAGTGCTAGTAAGTGCTAGTATGTGCATGGATTTGGCTAAATTTGACTTTGCCTTGACCCCGTACTTTTTACAACATGTGATGTTGGATGATTGACATACTAGCCAGAAGTCTAATAACTTTAGTTCTAAACTGAAAGTGATAATAATGAATATTAAATTATATAACTTAAAATATAGCACATAATCATAACACATAGTCAAGCCTCCGTAAATATTAGTACCATGTTAGAAACACCATTTTAAAACTTGGCTCATAATGATACTGTGATTTAGTTTGGAAAAATAAATTTCAATAGTTAGAAAGCAAAAGTTTTTTGTAGTTTTCTCATGGTAATTCTGGAATAAGATAGCATGTAAAATAATTGCTTGATAGTTCATATCTGGCTTCATTATAATATAAAGTTTTAAAGTTATTTTTATAATATTTTTAAAAGGAATCACTAAATTAGCCCAATTTATTTGTGGTGGAAATAGCACAAAAGCCGACTTAACAACTCCTCATTCTTTACCACCAGAAAAGGAATTATAGGATTTGTGGTTTATTCCCTAGAGATTTGGACTGAAAGTTATCCAAGAAATTGGAATTTTTTTTTTATTTTTATATAGGAGCAGCTTCTTAGACTGATAAAATACAACCAACATCAGCTGGTAATATTTTACTTCTTATAATAAAAAAATCAAGTTCTGAAGGATTAAAATATTTTTAAATTAGATGGATTCTAAATATATTTTTACTTGTCTCAAGAAATTATTTATTTTAACCTTGACTATTAATAATAATAGACAAATTAGTTTTCTGATTATCAACATATTTACTGGCAAACTTTTTTCTTTCTATGTATGGCTGGGCTATTTATGCTTGTATATCATACTCAAAATTACTAACCAGGGAGAAATTTAATTTGACTGCATTCTATGTCAAGTCCTGGATAGTTTTGTTAATGATATATTGTATCTAAAAATTTATCATAGTGTCTATTTCCCCAAATTCATTGCTTCTTGAAGAAGTTTACTTAAACTTTATTTGTTTATGTTTTGAGACAACGTCTCGCTTTGCAGTTCAGGCTGGTCTTGGGCTCACTCTGTAGCCCAGGCTGGCCTCAAACTTGCAGTGATCCTCCTGCCTCAGCCTCCCGAGTGCTGGGATTACATGCGTGCACCACCATGCCTGGCTTCCTTTTATTGAAAATAGGATAGTTTTGTTAATGATATATTGTATCTAAAAATTTATCATAATGTCTATTTCCCCAAATTCATTGCTTCTTGAAGATTCCATAAATGGACTTACCCATGAAATGTGCTTATTTTTGAAAGAACAGATAGATCAAATAAACTTTCTATTTGAGAAAACAGCACAGATTCTATAGAAGGAGTCAGATGCTAAATGTTAGAAATGCGTCTGTCAGACCTCTCACAACCTTCTCATCAATAGTTTTGATTCTTTTGAGTATCATAAGTTTTCCACTTGGGAGAATAAAAGAGTCATTTTTTATTTAGTCCTGAGGTTTTACTTAATTAAAACTTTAGGAAAAGACTTGATTCCAATTCAGAAAAATTTTATATTTTCTTCTATTTTCAGTAAAAGGAAGCCGGGCATGGTGGTGCATGAATGTAATCCCAGCACTCGGGAGGCTGAGGCAGGAGGATCACTGCAAGTTTGAGGCCAGCCTGGGCTACAAAGTGAGCCCAAGACCAGCCTGAACTGCATAGCAAGCAGTTTGAGACGCTGTCTCAAAAAGATAAAAAAAATTAAAATTAAAATTAAAATTAAAATTAAAAACAAAGTCAGTAATGCTTTTCATTTAGACCAAGATTGATGCGCTGGTTCAGCTTTCCAATTGCTTGTGCTTAAAATAAAGTTCAAGGCCAGAGATATAGCTCAGCAGCACAGAGCCTGCCTGGCAAACGCAAGGTCCTGAAAAAAAAAAAAAAAAAAACAAGCAAAACATAAACAAATAAAGTTTAAGTAAACTTAAATATATCAGTACACAGCTAGAATTCATAATTATTGCTCTGAGACACTACGTAATGAACTTACTCCCCTAGCTATGCTAAAGTTAGACTGTCATCTCCACAAACCTTAGAACCACACTGGGATTGATGTACATTGTACAGTATTTCATAGTTTTGTCCCTGGACTTGTTTAGGTCTGATTGTAGGTACCTAATAAATGCTGGTTACACAAAATCAATATATTAAAATTTAATTTTTTTTTCTTTATTAGGAAGCTGCTCATGCCCAGGTGAGCTTATTTATCCAAACTAAAACATTTTAATATTTCTTTTAGGTGGTGTTTCATAACTTATACTTTTCTAAAAACAAAAATATGTTCTGTGAGCTACCACTCGTGTTGTATAATGATAGTAAATAGCCATGTACAGAAAACACATACTCTTGCAGTATGATTAGATTACAATTTATCTCCAAACACTGATCCTTATAAATTCTGTAGTTTTTTAAAGCTCTATAGTATGCTTAGCCTCATTCAGCTGCCTATTTTCTCTAAAATTAGAAAACTATAATATTTCAATGGCGCTTACCAATCCCAACATAGATCATCGTTAATTTTAAGTTTTGTAGATGATGACATAGTCTTGGTGCATTGTAAAATGAACATGCTGTACCAGAATATTCTAAGTAATTTAAAATGTATTTCCTTTCATACAGGAGAAACTTTACAGAAAAAATGAACACAACCAAGCCCAAATGGTAATATTTCACTTACATAAATTATGTTGTTTAGAAATGTTTCCTTTAAATAGCCTCCCACTCTTCTGTTCAAGCCGTCTTCCTTCCTTTTCATTCCTAAAATCTGAGGGATGAATACTGTTTATTGCTTTTCTTTGGAGAAGTGACTATCCTATTCTACCTCAGCTAGGGCAGGCATCACATTTATAATCACCAGTGCTATGAAGCATTAATTTCTACATTTACATTAATATATTTTAACATATTTTTAAATTTATAGTCAGATACATACACTTGTATAATTTCCAATTTCACTGTCTATTTAGGAATCCCAAACCCAGTTGTAACTCTGAATCCTTAAGTGGACCATATGGATTTACGACTAGATATACTTTTCTTTAGAAGAAATCATCTAGAGAGAGCATCTCTGTCAAAACACTCTGATACTCTGTTTTCTTACCAGTGAAGTGAGTTCGTGAATAACAGAACAGGTACTGATTCTTCCCTCACCTTACCTACCATTAGTTCTACAGTGTTCCTACAGCCTCTGATTTCATTTTTAAGGTAATAGCCAGCTGCTATGAGATGTGTTGCCATGGTAATTCTGATTCCTATGGATAGTCTAAGCCAATTTCATACCAGTCGTAGAGCCTTCTAACCGGTACTCACCATTTAGTGAGTCCTAAGACTCTTGAGGATGCTTCCTGTGTCTAGAAGACAATGTCTAAGTAATTAAGATGCAACTGACAAAACTAACAGCAGAACCAAAATTTCCACATAAAAGACACTTCAATTAGATTGTTCCTTCTGTCTTGAATGTTTCATTTAGTCTTAAAGGATAATTCTGAATTTTCTTTTTCTTTCTAGAGAGGCCCTATGAGAATGGCAAACCAGGTACATGCATGTGTATGTGTGTTTTAATACTGCACCCAAGACTGTTTTTGAGTCGTTGGTCACTATTAAGAAATTAAGGTACTAGCTGCACCATTAACTAATGCTATACTGGCATTTCGTAGCTATTGACTTGTGTATGGCTCTCTAGTAAGAGTTGCTGTGGAAGATCAGATCTAAATTACCAAAGGAAACTGAAAGCATAATTCTTTGGCCATTCCTGAATAAAGGCAGCTTCAGGCCAACCTGCAAGTCAAAAAAGCCCTAGCTTGAAATTCTTGTTTTCCAAATTTTATTATAGAACTAGCTACTGAAAGTAAGTTGGGCTTTACATCTGTGGTCTGACACTTCCTAATCATATACTTAACACACTGTATATTCTCTTTGATCTTTAGTTTCTCAATTGTGAAAAAGTTAATAGTAGTGTCTATCACTATTTTCCCTTGCCTCAATTTGCCATACACTGGTCTTTCCACTTCTTCGGTGTATCTCCACTTCTAAAGGTAGAAACTGTGCATTTATTTCAGTGGCTCTCAGCCACTGATGATTCAATTATACATCTTACATACGATATGCTGATAAAAATAAAACATGGGAGAAAGTCACTGAGTTTTACATACATACCAGGACACACGATTGAAGGGAAAAGAATTCCTCAAAATTCAAAATACTGAGGTTATCAATTTTATGGTAATGATCATCAAAGCACCTTCATTTGAGGTCCAAAGATTGAGTATATTGGTTTCAACTTTCCATGTGATTCTCTAAAACAAGAGGACAACTATATGTATGTTTTCTTAGTGGGGGGTTTAGCCAGCAATAATTTAGTGTATCATGATGATGAATTGGATGTATATAACAAAGCTCATTGTTTGCTCTCCTTTAAGGAACAGGCCCAGTTCTTTTATGAGGTAAGTTGACTTTATCATAGTTACTTTCATATAATCTAAATGCTTTAATGAATAAAGAGATTTTTAGATATCATATTTGTTTTGATATGCACAGCAAAATGTAGTCACTTTCAATTTTTTCCTAATTTTATCAAAAAAACAAATATTTTATCTCAACTTATAATTGTGTATATTAATCTAGGACAAAATAGATAAACTATCACAGTAAATAATAGAGGGAGCTATTCCAACATTTTAGAAGGAAAAGTAATGTTTTGTTCCCCAAACTCCAGTTTTTGGAAGGTGGTAAGATAATGACTGGAAAATCATTTCCTTCCTGTTTCCAATGTTCCTGAAATCTAGTTATGTTGACCCAGGCCATGGTGCCCTTCTTTTGATCCAAGTGTATTAGGGAAAATGAAAATAGAGCTCTAAATGACAGAAACTTCCTCTCTCACCCCAAAGCCCATGAGTTTATAATAAGCAATAATAAAATTCATGCTAGTACTTTCTTCTGGGCCATGAAAATTAAACTTATGTAAGTAAAGCAGGTCACGGGGTTCAGTATCAATTAGTGACTTTAAAAAGTGATAAAAAGATCCGCTTTCTTAGAGATTCAAAACAGGAGTTGCTCATACAAATTGCTCATACACTGCTGTTTTTCAATGCTCACCTCCAGCTCAATGCCTACCCGTTCACTGACTGGTACTATCCCCCGCAAGTGCAGTATGTACCTTTCCTGCCCTTCTTCAACAACATGAACCCCATCATCCCTGAAAATATTCCAAACACTGATGTCATGTCAGAGTGGTTGGTAAGTTCTTTGAAATTACTGCATTTTGATGTTCTACAAAAATACATTTTTAAAAACCATGTACCACTTGATAAGATTTAGGATATAGATTTATCTATCAATTTAATATATAGGTAGCAAATCAGTTTAGAATAAAGTCAGCAATCTCCATAGTAATGTAGTAGAATCTTATGAAATAGAAAATTGGCAATACCTCCTGCCATCTGGGGCTCACAGGCATTTCTAGTAACATGCAGAACAGTATTATGTATTCAGTAAGTAAAATACAGTCTGAAGAAAGTAGGAAAAACTTTCTCCCCAAGTTAAACATATAAAGATGCCTGATATGTAGTTCAATGTTATCTTCCTTTAGTTTGTATAATATGCCTTCTGTTTGATTACACAGATGATAAACATAAAGATCCTATGTGGGGAAAATGGCACAGACTTTGGTATCCAGTGGAATTAAATTCAAGTCCTGGTCTTTTTGCTTGATTGAAATTATATGCTTCTTATTTCTCATAACCTTGATGACAAACAAATGTAGCAATATTTGCTAAGTAGACTATTGGGAAAATTATGACTGAATAAGGAATAGTCATTTTTTTCCTTATTTAGTAAAATTGTGTTGTTGGTTGCTTTTATCACATGATTTTACCAATTTTTGCTTTTTTCAGAACTAAATCAATTCTCAGGAACTCCCCAGTTATGGCACTAGGTAAATTTAAAAATTGCATGTCTTGCTATTGATCATACTTCCATTTGAAATTTTTTTATAATCATAGTGCATTTAAATAGCAACTAAAATTGCCCACTTTAACTAATAAAATTTATAAAATTAGAAACTTATACCAATGTGGTGTGGATGTTACTAGTTTTTCATGTAAATTTGTCCTTTGGTACACACAAAGGACAAATTATCATGGTAAATAGAACAGTGGTATTCCATTCTTTATGATCACTGCACTAGAAAACTGCACCAAGTCACACAGTGAAACTAAGTGTGCCAACCACAGTGAAAATGTCTACATATTTGTTTTAATTGCCTTTGTCCATTATATTGGACTTCTAATCTTCTCTCTCTTCTCTCTCTCCTTCTCTCTCTCTCTCCTATCTCTGTTTCTCTGAGTGCGTGCGTGTGTGTGTGTGTGTGTGTGTGTGTGTGTGTTTGTGTAGGTGTGTATTTGTTTCCCCTTTCCGGTAGTGGAAATGTCCCTGCCAATAGATCAAACTAAGGAAAATGCTAACACTCTGACCTATGTGGAAATCTCTCATTGTAACTGCCTTGTTATATTGTCTATTATTGCACAATTTTTTACTACTTAGGAATAAATTGTGTTTGAATCTTACAAATCAGGAACAATGTCTGTGTATCTCAGTAAAAGGAAACACAAATAATTGAGTGACCTGATCTAATATGAAAACAATTAGTAAAATGAATAACATAAGAATTTCTCTTCCCCTTTAATACTTAACCACATATATCCATTTCTTACAGATGTGACTACAGCTTCCTTCTCCGACTTTCTTCTCTGCCTGATCATCACGTGAAACAGACCACAGCTTTGGCTATGATTTTAGAATAGCAAGGTGCCTACTGGAGGGCATATTTCTTTTTCTTTCATCTACTATATATTGGAGATCACAGCAACCTCTCCTCGGGTTCAAATTTCCTAGACAGTTATCATCTGAATTCTAGTTGTGTCATATAGATACAGAGAGCACCTTGTAAGAGGGTATTAAAGTCTTTACTAAATTTCTATAATGGAAATTTTGTTTAGAAGGCTTTGAGTTGCTTTTCCTGTAAGTCCCATCATTTCGAATAATTGTGTGCTGTGACTGAGGTCTTCTTCTTTCCAATAAATTGAATTTTAAGGCACAGTCCTCGTTTTCTGTCATTATTCCATCCAACAGCTTTTATATAATCCTGTTAAGAATTTATGTATATAATGTTTTACTTTAATTTATTTTTATGAAACTATAAAGCATATCTTAATGAAGACGTTTTTTGTTTGTTTGTTTGGGTTTTCTTGTTTTTTTCCGGTACCAGGAATCGAACTCACAACCTTGCGCTTGCCAGGCAGGCACTATGCAGCTGAGCTAACTCCCCAACCCCTCTTAATGAAGACTTTTAAAACTATTTCCTTTGCTAGCTGGCCACGCAAGGCACTGATAAGCTACGATCTTGAAGGCCAGTTGTTTGGAGAATAATTTTATATGGTCACAGTTACAACTGCAGAAAGGAACAGCACTGGGGCAGCTGTGGGCACCCTGAGAACCTAAACAACCAATTAATGCCACTGGCCTGTTTGATGCTACTTGATTATACCTGAGTGTATAGCTAGAGAGATTAGATAAATACAAAGGGCAGTTTAGGACACATAGTAGCCTGCAATCTGTGGTCCCTGTTCCGGGTTCTCCAGAGCCCAAGCAGGAGCTGTTTCCCAAAGTGACAATAGTCAGTTGCTCTGATATCTTCAAAGTCCCAGGTAAGATTTACTTTATTCGAAGTGTCCCACAACAACCAAACTTCATGACATTGTGCTGAGTCACGGGTCTACCACATTGCAACATGTGAGCAGTGATGCCTCTAGCACCAAAACTAAGTTAATTAAGATAGCCTAAGGGTACTATTTTATTTTATTCTTTAGTTTTTAAATCAGAAGGGATAAAATATGTTTATCACATCACTCTCTATAAAAGCAGGTACCACAAATTTATTTGAAAACTGCCACTTTTAAAATGTCACCTGTGATGGGTATCATTACCTCATTTAACTTGAAATAATCTTTTGTTATTATCCAGGAGGCAACTGGAAAGAATAACATGATTCTCAATCCTTACTTACATCTTTTACCTTTTAACACACACTGATATTTCCCCAGAGATGTGGTAAACTTCTAAAATGTATTATTTAAGCATAGAAGGAAACACAATAATGAGCTCTAATGAGTCTTTTTCAACCTTCTTACTCCAAGCGTAAGGGAAGCGGTATTCAATTTAAACCATCACTCTGAACTGGGGACTTAGCATGAATGGCTTTGACCAGTGGTGGAGAACCTATGATGCACATGTTGTTTGTTTTTCTTTTAAAGAAAAGATGTTAATGTATGAGTTGTTTTTTTCTAAACTAAAACCTCGGTATTCAGGTTTAATTGCAATGTTAGCACTTCGCAGTAAATAAGTGTGTCTGGGGTTGCAGTTCGGGCACTCGTCTCTAAAAGGTTTGACACTGGTTTAGACCCTTACTGACAAAACAGTGATGGCGAACCTCTTAGAGCTTTCAGTGATAGCAAACAGCCAGAGGTGGCACACATGTCACAGGTTCACCACCACTACCTTTAAAGGAGGCAAACTCTGATGGAAGCACCCTCTATCACCTGACTCAAATCTCATACCAGAAAATTAGTGGTAAAACAGAGCATGTATCTACAGGTCTATACCAGTGTCAGATGATGCCATTTCTCCAGGTAAATGCCCAAAAACACATAGGTCAAAGGCATGTATCAATATTAGAAGTGGTATGGTAAAATCCTTACAGAATTTCTCCTTTCACACTAAAGAAATGACTATACTATAGCTGATCTTACTTGGAAATTGAAAATGCGGAAGGTTACTCTCTACAATGGTAGGGTGAGCCAGGAATCTGCTTGCCAGTTGTGGATACTTTTCCATTTTGATTCAAAAATCCCTCTGGCATTACTGCTATCAAATGTTTCCTGGAGACATCATGATTAGCCTCACACAAAGATGAATTCTGGTCTGACCATTTCTCATACAATAAATATCACACTAATATTTCTAAAACTTTTAGTCATCACATGGTTTCAGGAGTTTATCTGTTACCATCTGGGTTTGCTGACTGAGAATACCTTATGACTTCCCTGAAGTCACAAATTTCCATTGCTGTTTACTTCTCACCACAGTTCGCAGCCATGACAGTTATGTAGGAAAGACTTCTATTTAAAGCATGTTCCTCTTAGTTACCTACGCTTTGTCTGTAGGCAAATGAAGGGATGGGTCATTAGAGTTAAGCATATTGTAGCGTCTTCTTTCAAAAATGATTGTGGGAAATGAGGAACACATTCCTCTTTTCCCAACCCACTCTCGCCATTCAAGAATACATGAGCTAACGGCACTAGATCCTTGTGCTGGAGGAAAAACTGCAAATGCTGACTGGTATGTAAAATTGTCTGATTTTCGAATGTAGTATACTTGCATACTATACAACACTATATGTTGTATATTAAAACAAAACCTAAACTATATGTGTCAGATTCAGCCCCTACATCACCCTTACTTCTGTGTACTCCATTGTACATTAAGGGAAGAACTTTCTAGGATTCTCTTTCTACTTCTAATCCATGTCAAGGTTGAATTTGGCTATGGTGAGGCAGCAATGAAAATGGAAAATAAGATAACCATTACAGAAGAAAAATAAAAGAACCATGACTTCAGACACAGTGGGAACAATTTTAGGAGGATTTGGGAGTTAGGGGTTCTCTAATTCTTCCATATCTTTCAGTGTATTAGACTGAATGACTGGGATTACACTTTCTTAAAGTTTGCAGGAAGCCTACAAGTATGTGAATTCAAGTGTCATTTTAATTGGCTTGGGCACAACAGTCATGACCCGGAATGTCCCCATCATGAAACTCGAATCCTCAAAGTAATGGCATTAGGAGTTAGGGCATTTGGGAAGCAATTCAATCATGACAGTGCAACCTGGTGAATAGCATTAGCATTCCTGTAAGAAGAGCCTGAGATGATTTCTCTCTCTACCATGCAAACCAGGACAAAGACTCTGATCAGACACTAGCTCTGCCATTGCCTTGATCTTGGACTTGTCAGCCTCCAAAGCCATGAGAAATAAATGTTTATTTTTTGAGTCACCCAGTCTGTGACATTTATTATGGTGGCTTAAACTGACTAACACATTAATTGTGTAATTTTTAAGAAGTCAATTTCGATTTCTATTTCAGAAATTTAAAGTCTATAACTACAAGCAGTGAAAACTGTAAGCAGATTCACTAGTACTTTATAAAAATGTGATATCAGAGAATTTGATTTTACACTGTCAGGAATGTCTCTACAGGAATGTTGCTATCAGTTCCAACTAACAGAAAATAACCTTTATCTCAATTTAAAAGGAGAAAGGCATTAGAATGTACATCAAGAAAAGCTTGTTTAAAGAGATTGAAGGTGACCATCAACCCTTTTGTTCATCTTTCACTTTCATTTTTACCGGAATTGTCTTAATTTGCAAGCTCTTGCCATGTCCTTGGAAAGGTGGTCTGGCCACATCTTGAGGCCTCCGGGTCACTCGTGTTCTCTCTGACGTGACCACACTGCAGCTTCTCTGCATGTTTCTGAATCAAGAGAGCAATGCTAATTGGTTCTGCTTGGGTCAGTGGACTTTTGCTGTATGAATCCCATTAAGGAATTCTGGCCTGAAACGTATGTGCACTTACATAAGCAAGAGTTGGGCACAGGATACAGCTCGGTGGCACCGTGCCTGCCTGGCAAGTGCAAGGTCCTCAGTTTGATTTCCAGGACAAAAAAAAAAAAAGAATCATTGAAATCTTTCTACCTGTTAAGGTACACGAAATTGCTATTGTAGAATTTCACAATTACATTTGTACATTACTTGATCTCTAATATTTAAATATTTTACCTGATAATAATTCATATTTATAGGGTATGTTGACATAATTTGATACATGTACAAAAGGATTAATTTATGGTAATTAGCTATTTCATCTCCTTAAACATCTATCACTTTTTGCATTGGAAACCTTTAAACTCAAAAAAAGAGCTGTACTTCTTTATAAAACATTAATAAATGGTTGTAAATATAGTCAAACCACTGTGCTGTAGAACACTAAAACTGTAAGTAATCCTCTGTTATGGAATAAATTTCAGTTTCTTCTCATTTATAAATATTGGCTTTAGCAATTTCAATAAATTTGAAATCTTCTGGTTCTCCATTGGTCAAATAATCTGACTAAACATTTTCAAGTTACATTTGAACAAAATGTATCCAAAATCTGAATACCTTATTATACTGGTTTCCTGGGGCTCATGTAACAAAATAGCGCAGGGCTGGGGATTTAGCTCAGCGGCAAAGCGCCTGCCTGGCAAGCGCAAGGTTGTGAGTTCGGTTCCCGGTACCAGAGAAAAAAAAAAAAAAAAAGAAAAAAAAAGAAAAAACAAAATAGCGCTGACTAGGTATCTTAAACAAACGAAATCTATTATCTCCCAGTTTAGGGAAATCAGTGCATTAGCAGGACCATGCTCCTCCGACAGCTCAAAGGAAGAGTTCTTTCCTATCATTCCCTAGATTCTGGCAGTTGCTGGTAATCTTTGCCAGTCCTTCATTTATAGATGTATCTTGTAGGTGCATCATTACACTTGATTCCTCTATCTTCACATAGCACTCTTTCCTTTGTGTTTATCTCTGCTCAAATCTTCCTTTCATTATAATGACAATAGTCTTTAGATTTAAGATTCACTCTGATGCAATGTGACCTCACTTTGAGTTCATCTCATCTACAACACTCCACGCCAAATAAGGTCACATTCACAGTCAGTGGGGACAAAATCTGGGACATATATTTGGGGAACACAGTTCTACCTGTTGTGTTCATTTATGAAGAAAGCTCAGGAGTCTTAGTAGAATACTTAGGTTGGACTTCAAGTTATTATTTAAAAGACTTGGACATTTCTTAAATCCGGTTGATAATAGTTAAAGAGAAAAAATACCTCATCATGTTGAAATATTTCTTCAAATTTGCTATCAATATTTGTTACAATATTGTGTAGTATATTTACCTTACATGTGTATATTTATTTACCTTACACATATATGT